TGCTTCGTGATGCCCACTCGAGATTCAAGTAGGTACGTGTTATGATAAGTGTTTTCCTAAACGGCATAAATGTATCTTGAATCATACAAGAATTTCAGATATCTGAAAATAAATCATTACTTATCATAAAAATAAAAGCATGATCTACCGGTGTCCTACTTTCTTCAAACTATGCTCTTTGAAAACAAAATTCAAAGAATTTTACAGCTTCAGTAAACCTTTTTCAAATAAAATCTGATAATAATGGAAACGGGGTCAATATGCCTCGTTCTGTAAATCTTTGAAATATGACTAAGAGATAAAACTAAAATCAACACTAAACTTAATGTAGGTAGCTGTGGTACAGTGGACGATGGTACAGGAAAATAATATAAGCGTTCATCTTAGTAAACGGGCGTCGTAACTTTCTAGTCTCATATTGTCATGGATGCTGCGGCATCTGTCATATTAATTATCAGCTACAGGGTCGAGGGACGTGTCGAGTATATGAAGTGGTCACAAGTTTCCGACCGCCTGATAAGACATGATATCGTCGCCACTCCCAAACTTGTTTTTACTGTACTGTCAGGAAGTTTGTTACCCACGTATGCGTGGGACGTAGCTCCCGAGCAGACACATATTTATTGTTAATGCTGATCATGACTTTTCCCATCAAAAGGAAAGACATTGAGCTCTATCATTACCGCAAATGTATACGTCTTGGCAATTTTCAAACACCAGTTTAATGCCAGACGATGTTTCCGATTGCAATTTGGCACATATTAAAACTCCTTAATGTACCATGAGTCAATTTTATGTACTAATATTGGTTTCAATGATCAAACGAGAAACAGTATATAAAATCGATACACCTAATTATAGACAACTTTTTCAAAAGAGGTTCAATTAACACACTTTGTTAATTATATCTCATCCGTTTGAATGACCACTTTCATTTCCCTGATTAAAGAATATTCTTTTCATTTAGGCCGTAAAGTAATTTTGGACCAATTAAACTACACAGTTGGGATTAAAAACACGGTAAAACTGATATACGAGTATGAAGATAATCTTGTCTAATTAGATTTACGATGTGTACAATATTTTGGTATTACAAATATGACTTTAGATTATAATCCAAAGCTTAATTTGGTCGATCCAGGAAACAGATAATAGTCAATTTTCTTGTTTGCGTACACGCGTCTTCAATTCTATTCAGTTTGTATGTATCATCCTCAAAGTATTTGCAAGATGTGAGAAAATGCACTTTGCACTAATCTCGTTCAATGTAATCAAGTACGTGTTTTAAGTCTGAATCTATATTTACGAAGTAATCGACAATTGTTCGAAATGTTTCTATTTCTATTATTTCAATGGCATTTCTATCTGTCTTAGAGGCGGGTGTCTTCTTCATTCTTATTGTTTCTGGTTATCTGCCAAGTTCCGCTTTACTTAAAGGAAGGTCGAGCATTCATTAGTAAACATCCTCCACATTTCCTACGATACAATAAGTATATTTCTACTACCTCTAACAGAAACCAGTCCTTCAGATAACGAACAATCGACTAAAGTTCTCCAGATCTTCCTTTCCGCAAAGTTGATAATGGCGGTTCAATTAAAAGACTTGGAGATTAACATCGATGCCGGGAAAATTTTAAATGGCGATAATTATCATCAAGGTCTTAGCATCGTAACCACATAACTGTAACACGCACATCGTTGGCATATATTTACTATGTACCTACGTACTTGCGCAGTACAATATACTCATAAGTAAAGTGTTAAAAGTTTACTCCCACATTATCAACATCTGTAAACATTTTCATATTTATGTTTCTTAACGTACACAGATAAACATCTTGTCGAGGGCAATGCACTTTTTATAAGCAATTTAATAATCATCAATAACTACTGCTCATTATCTTACGCGTTCTAATTACTTTAGCGATCTCGAGGCTTTTGCCAAATACGTATTTACTACTTATAGTGTTCATGTTAATGACGAAAACTAACGTCTTTTTTTTCTATTTCAGCTACACTCATCACCGCAACTGCCGGTACCTGCTATGGATGGCCATCTCCCACATTGCCCTATCTCCAGTCACCGGAGAGCAAAATCCCTACTTCACCTGACCAGGGATCATGGATAGTTTCAATAATGATCCTTTGCTCCGCGCTGACACCTGTTCCTGCCGCATATTTTGCCGACCGGTTCGGCAGGAAGACCACCTTACTCCTCGGAGCCGTACCATTCATCATCGGCTGGGTGCTAGTTATCGTAGCAAACTCCGTGTCCCTTCTCTACGTGGCACGGATGTTCTCAGGACTAGGCTACGGGATAGTCTACACAGTTGCTCCCATGTACACAGGAGAGATCGCTACCAATCAAGTGCGAGGGGCTCTCTCTACTCTTATCACCTTGATGAACAAAGTAAGTGTTCCATTTGTTATGCAATTCCAATAAAATGCCCTGTTTGCACTGTGTTCAGCACACATAGCATCGTATTATCTGCTACTGAAACGAATCGTTTTAAAACAGACACATTAAAAAAACATGAACCATGCCAGTCAGGTGTTAATAAATTATTCATAGCCTTAATGGGTTAGTTTAGTTCCATCAACGAACATAGATATTTGAGTAACAATTAATTAGATATATATTAAATAATGGAAATATGTTTTCGCGAGAATCTTTCTGTATTTAATAGATCAATATTAACTGTAATGAACTGTGATCAAGTTCAATGAAATAATAGCGTAATTTAGTGTCAGTGCAATTACTCACTTTGGATAAGTTCAACTAATGGGCGATATCCTTTGCAACGTAACAGGCAATTCCAATTATAAATTACGTCTAGTCGAACCAGCTCGGTCTTATCATTGACTGTTTACATATTCCATGCTCTATTGCCTGTTTTATAAGCTCGTTTTCTGCTTTGAGAGTTAGATATGCGATTTCTAAATGCTGTTCGTAGAATCGCACGTTGTACGTACTTGTGCAGCCAACAGGTGTACGGTTTCCTTTGTCAGAGTCCGTTGCACTATATACATACGTAGCTCATCTTGTTACATCGACTAAGTATGTCATACGAGATATTCAAGTTTAAATATATCATGTCACCTAAGCCTTACCTACTTGTTAATATAATTCGTAGATAGCCTGACTATACACTTATCCTCACGAAGCAGTCGTACAAAAACCCGACATACCTAAACATGTTATCAGGAATCATAAAATGTTCACGTGATAAGCTAGTGATATTACCATAAAACACATTTGTACAACGTGCAACACTATCGCTATTAACTATGGAAAATTTAATTACTCTTGAGGATACCGAACTTCACAGCCACGTTAACATAAGAAAATATAATCAAGAGCTACTTATTAAACATAGAGAGAACAGTAACGTATGCATAGACCTAATCAAATGCTATTCACTGGGATCTCAGCTATATGACAACAATTTATTTCGCATTGTGTTGTATTTGCACGTAATTAAGGCAACGTGCACACGAGCCGAGTCGCGACGTAGAACGTGGCTCATTACCTCAATTAACAAGCGCATGGTTTCCCGCAATTCACATAAATAACGAAACGTTACAGTCATGTTTGGAAAATATTAGGTACAATTCTTTTACTTTCGAACGATCAAAGTATATTTAATCTAACTATAGATCGCAAGATACCCATCTTTTTTAAACAGTTTAAATAGCTTTCTTGGTTATTAAATTTATTACTTCAAATTCACGTGTCCATTGTATCCAGTTAATCACCGTAATGATTTTATCTTCATATTAATCCATATAAAGCTGTCTTATCTTGACAAATAATGCTGTAAAGTCATGGTTTATGGTTGCATTCAACTAACCTTTGAGTAGCCGCAGTAAAACTTGCCTTTATACATGTGAAACAATTTGCTTGTAATATTTTATATGGAAATATTAATGTATTGTTCTCTTTTCTTCCAGGTCGGAATTCTTGCCCAATACTGCATCGGTCCCTTCGTGTCAATGCAAACTCTCGCCGCCATCAACTTGATCCTGCCTGTCTCATTTGTCCTCACGTTCATATTTCTACCAGAATCTCCTTATTACTATTTAAAATTTGAACGGAGTCAGAGAGCAGAACGTGCCCTCAGATGTCTACGTAGTGGTGACATAAGAACTGAACTGAAAAGTATAGAATTGAACGTTCAAGAAGACATGAAGAACCGGGGCACTTGGGCTGACCTAGTGACTGAAGCGACCAACAGAAAAGCAATGTGGATAACACTTGGCATTTTCACCATACAACAGCTGTGTGGCAGTGCTGCTGTAGTGGCGTACGCACAGGTCATATTTAACTGCACGACCAGCCCTGTCGGTACTAATGTAACGGCTGGGCCAGAGAATGCTACTGTTGCTTCTTCTAGCATACAACCCTACCAAGAATCTATAATTCTGGGTTGCGTACAAGTTGCCACCTGTGTCCTATCTGTCATACTCGTCGACCGCGTTGGAAGGAAGCCTCTACTATTGCTATCTGCTCTTGGAGTCGGGCTCATGAATGGCACAATTGGAACCTACTTTTATTTCGACCACTCCAACTCAGCTTCAGTGGCACACCTTCACTGGTTGCCTCTGGCCGCTCTTCTCATTTACATCGTATGCTATGCCATTGGACTGTCAACGGTCCCTTACGTCATCATTGGAGAAATGTTCCCGACAAATGTTAAGCTTTACGCGTCATGTATCGCCCATATCTACACTGGAGTTTCCATGTTTGCGGTTCAAAAACTATTCCAGGTAAGGATACATTTAATTAACAACTCAACATTTATTTAATAAAATACAAAAACAAATGCTAACAAAATCCCATTTATTTTTATAAATATTTTTGTACATACAACGGTAGATCGTTGCAGAATAAAATAAAATATTCTGCGACGACCATTTTACAAACTAGTTTTTCAATAAAATGATCAAATTCATTTAATATTTTGTTTTTTACATTGATCTAATATGTAACATTTGTCATTCCAGGTGGTGAAAGACGCTTACGAGATCTACACAGTATTCTGGGGATTCGCGACGTTCTCGCTGCTGGGCCTGGTGTTCATGCTCGTCATGTTGCCGGAGACGAAGGGCAAGTCGTTCGCGTCCATCCAGGCGCAGCTGAAGCGGGAGGTGGCGCGCGACAACGCTAAGAAACTGGCCACCGTCGAATACTGAACGCCAGACACTTCGTCTGTCGGATTACTTCTCACTAGTTTAGCATAAGCTTTACTTTAATTGTATAAGGGAACAAGCAAGTTGGAATGACAGTTAAGGATATTGATACTTAAAGTTTAATATAATTATAGCATAGAATAGTGTAACAACGTACAGTTTTCTATAAAGTATTGTAGACACTACACTATTACAAGAGTAGCCTGTGTATGCACAGTAGAGGAAGTATGGAGGGGGCCAGAAGGGCTGCGCCGGAGAAGGCGGTGAAGTCCTCAGGGTCATAGTCTTTGGGCAGGGCGCGCGACTTGATCACGCTGGCATACAGCTTAGCTGAGTGCTTCGCCGTCCTCGTCTTGTTCGGACTCTTGAAATCAACCAGATACAGACCGAAGCGGGACCTGCAAATGCATTTACAACTGTGAAAAGAGTGAAATTAGAACTATTTCGACTGATCTATGTGTTTTATTCCACACCAAAAAGACGGCTGGCATCGACAAAATCGTATTTTCACATTTTGGACTTATTCTATTATACTTATTTAATTGATATTATGATAAGTAGATATTATCTAAATGTGTTAGTAAGAACTCTGATATGCTCTTAGCTTATTACATTAAATTATGTAATAAACAGCTAATAAAGTCGACTTTCAATCCAAGTCATTAATTTGCTACGAAGTCTATCCATTAATATTACTTCAAGAATACTTAGTCTATTAAACTGCTAGAGAGACATAAAACTTTAAAACAAAAATTTCTCTTCTATTTGCATAAAACCTTTTTTATAATCTAGTCTATTGGATTAATTTATTAAAACTATCTGTTGACGGTGTGTTTATCAAAGTAAATAAGCATTAGATAAAATGGAAGTCATCAATCATCGGTATCATTCTCGAACGTGCCTCCAGCCAGTCATATGGATGACATTTTTCAAATTGATTAGATTACTGAGAAATTATATGTTGGCTATATAAAATGTAGGCAGCTATGTAGGTCAATAAAAATAGTTCTCAATTCATAAATGGGCGACAATGACGCAAACAGCGTCTGCGGTATGCCATTTCGAGCGAAAGTTAATATGAATAGATGGTTTATATTTGGTATCCAATTCTTGTCTCTATTTTTAACAGACTTAGTTAGATTTTCAACATTCAAATTTCAAAGATGTCACACAATTTATCCTCGATTCCTTTTCCTATCATTTCTACAGTAAAAAATCTACCTTAATACTACAATGGAGTTAACGTATAACATCAATTTTAGAAGGAATCCTAAAATGTCCTAATAAGTATTTACAAGCAAATTTAAGAGAAACACATTTGGTTATTTCAAACTAAGGAACTTTGGTATTTAGGAACGCCTACAGGCAAACATTACAAACTTCTTTGGCTTAAATAATATCCTTGGAAAACATCATACAAACACGCCAAATAAGAGTACTCTGCATTTCGTCTACCGCACGTAATGCTAAAAGAATCACGCCTTATAACGTAATAAATGCAAGTCATTCCCTTATCGTTCTGTTTTCAACAGTCACTTCAAAATCTTAAAGATAATCTACAATTTTGCGACTGTGTGATGACACCTGTATAAAATAAGTACCTACGAATTGATAAGGCGTAAAAAATAGAGTGAATCACCTAATTAAAAGTGCGTTGGGGATTTACTATAATTTGAATTTGGAAGCATTGTTCTATTTATAAAGATGACGTCGGTTATAGAAAAACCGGTGATTTCTTGGGCTGAAAGCTAATGACTACACTTACAGATACCTAGGCTTAGTAATGTTAATAAAAATATATAAATGTTTAAGTAGCGGATGATTCTTCACCTAATACTTAGGTAAGTATTGAAAGTTTATATATTATAAATACTGATTAAATTATAAACATAAAAAGCATACAGACTATGCATAGTAAATTGTCAGTAAAATTGTTATTTTTCTACTCATCATGCTTGTTGAAGTGGTTCGATCCACTCACGACTTGTTCTGTGTCCACCACTCAGCTCCAATTAAACCCCTATCATGACAACCGAAAATGCCTGTTCAGTTTACGGCTTCTTTCGTAGAAGTCAAAGGATTACTATATTGGCAATTTCGTCAAAAAGTCTCTTCTAAGTCTGTACTAATTTTACAAAGAGGAAAGATTTCACTGTCTGTTTCTTTACTAGGCTAAGAAACTACTTGATCGATTTTAACAATTATTTCACTGTGAGGAACCTACACTATCCTCCGACCGAAAACAACGCAAGACACTAAACAATTGCTAGACACAGCTAGTAATAAATAAAGAAGAGAAAGAGCCACGCTGAATGACATAGGTACTTTAAGTATAATATCACCGCCAAAATATAAGTAGGTATGAGGCCCACGATGGAACCTAGAACCTATCTGTCTTCTTCGCTTCTAAAACTAAATTATTTTATCTAGAGAGCATTGAACTTTGAGATAGCAATATAATCTCTACATAATGACAAGAGCTCATTTAAATTATACATGCTAAGTGAAGTCAGTGGAGCCATCTAGTGTACAGATGAAAAAGATATGAAGCGCTACCGTAACATGAAAATATTAGTCACAAAAGGCACCAATAGATGTCGTTACTTGACTCCACAAAAGATGGTAGAAATACCTACAATTAATTGTGTACTAAAGTAATTGTAGTGTCAAGGCTTTTGAAACAATTTTCATACACGTAGATAAGCCTTATGGCATCAATCTTGGAATCTACGAATAATAACGTCGTATTAAATGTAGATAGATATACTAAGTATTTACCAAGATCGTAGAAAGAGGTAATATCTTCTTAGTTCAACATTACCATTAAAGCTCAGCTAATAATGGAGCGGTTTGTCAAGATAAACACGTAATAAATTGTTATTGGAACAATTTTATGGCCCTTTATGTGTCGTTTGTAAACGGGATTATTCTAAGAAAGGCATTGCTTTTTCAAACTAAAAAAATACGTTTTATTTCTCTTAAAAGTAATGTGTTAGTAGGACCTACTTAAATCTTTAATTTGACTACTTACTTTAACTCTTACCGAATTACCTCATTATCACACCGAGACTTTTTAGGACCTCAGTCACTATTAAAAGAATAATTAATTTTCTTATTTAAGACTTATTCCTTACCAACTAAATTAATATTAATTTGAATTTGATTTAACTAGCTGATTGACCTAGATAGGTAAAGTCTACTGTATTAACATAATCTATGCATTATAAAAAAGATAGTTACTTACACATAACCGTCATCCCATTCGAAGTTATCCATCAAACTCCAAGCGAAGTATCCTTGGACATTGCTCTTGTCTTCGTGCAAGGCGTGGAGCAAAGCATTCAAATAATGGCTGTAGTACGCCACCCTCGCTTTGTCTTCCAACCCGGAGAAGTCAGCATACCCATTCTCAGTGACTATTATGGGAACATTGTTATAAGTCTTCGTGATCCATTTAAGTAGTCGTCTGAAGCCGAAAGGCACCACCTAGACAATAGAAGGCAAATTTATAATCACGTGCTTCTGAATAGCACGTTTGTGGTCGTTAAACAGAATAGCAAATAGCTCATGCCATTCACTGTACATAGGTAATTCAAGTTTTATTGTTTCAAATCTTTCTGTGTTGATTATGCTAAATACATATTTGTACTTTAGATGGTTTGGAATTTGAACGCCGTTTAAGGCAGGACAAAAAGATAAAAACAGCCATAGAAACATAGGTACACACGAGCTACACGATTTTACAGTAGGTATATATGTACAAAAGTTGGTACCAAGTCAAGACTATGGTCTTAAATGATTTAAACGGATTAGTTTTTGTAGTCATAGTGCCTACTATCGCGAATCTTTCTTTGTAGTAACATTGTAGCGATATCATAAGATAAAGACAATGTTGAAAAACGTGACGGATTTTTTTTCAATGAATTATCCACATATTGGTATGTAATGTAGGCAGTCATTGCAGTCATGGCAGGCAGTAATTGGTATGTAATGTAGGCAGGCACAGGTAATGTAGGCAGTCGGCTTCTTAAAGTACCGGGGTCCCTTGTGGATCAATTGCATCAATATACCTCGGCCCTGTCTAAAACAGGAACCGGGGTGGTTTTAAGTCAGTAAGGATCTGATACTCTCTCTTTCTCTGTCGCTCCAAAATATAATGATATTTTTCCCCTTAAAAAAGAGAGGATCCTTAAAATATATTACCTTAAGCCAAGATGAAGACGAATCGGAAGGCCATTTTGGATCCTGGACTCTGACAATGCCAACATCGTTTTCGTGGGACGGTACAGCACCTACTTCTTTGTTGGCCATGCTCAGAAGGTAGGTGGTGTAGTGGTTCAAACCAAAGAAATCAGCAGTTCCCTTAATGTAGTTCACTTCCTCAGGAGTAAACTTCGGGAGTCGGGACCGAGTGTAGTTTTGTTGAAGACTCTTCTCGTCAACTAACTTTATAAGTTCGGGGGGGTAGTTGCCCTCTTGCGAGTAAACGGGATGCGCGTACCAGCCCAACTGGAATGCCAAAAAAATATTTGTTATATAAAGTGAAATGTACATATCGTTAGTGATGTCTTTATTATTTCTGGATGATATTGAACTATTTGCTTTAATTTAAAGAATTATAAAGTACAAAGTTGTATAAAGATAACTTTCGGCCGTCCTTATGTTACTCAGGTTGTCAGTTCATATTCATCTTTAGAATGGAAATAACAAAGTTCATTATTCGTTGTATATATATTTAATGCACCTTAGTCGCGAATCCTAATATTTTCCTACATGCAAACGCAATTTACGGTTACAAAAAATGAAGACCGTCCTAATATAATCAGAAGAGAAGGGCTATTTGGGCCGTATGTAAATAACGACCTTATTAACTACACTATAGAATACCAATTAGCCTTATATCGGCATGGTAGTATCTAAAATGCTTTGCTTACCTAACAAAAGACCTTAGTTAAGTACGATGTTAACGTTACGTACCACTGAGCAGCCATTAAAGTTTATGCAGTCCAATACACATACATTTCGAATATACTCAAATCTGACATTGAAATATCCTTTGGAATGACAAAATGTCAAAACATTTCATACAAAGGTCGCTTTATGTTTTTAATGTCCGTGAAATTAGTAGGTCTATTACAGGTACAACGAAAACTGCAAAAAATAAAGCATTTTTTTATGAAACTCACGTGTGTTTTTAAGTATAATTCAGCAGCTTGTCTGTCTTGTGGCGTGTCCTCTTTTGGTTCAGCCCAGTTGGAGTCCAATGATAAACCAATTTTACCTGAAATCATACGAATTGTGGATTATCTATACTAATATTATAAAGAGGTCAAATTTGAAATTTGTAATTTTGGTCTGGTGATCGAATTTCAAAATTCTTTCACTGAAAGCTACAATGTTCTTAAATGCTATAGACTATAAAACATCACCCTACGACCAACAGGAGCCGAGCAGTGGGTGAGACCGCGCGTCATTAGCTAGTCACTTCTATTATTGGAAGTAAACGCTTTTTCCCAAAATTAAATAATTCAAGAGTCCATTCATACCTTTGTTGACATGTCGGTAATTTTGGTTGAAGAGGTGGTAGACGCTCGCGTGTGCTTTCAATAGATTATGTGCGCAAAGGTATTCAGCAATACCGTGCCTGTTCAATGCGGGCGCTCGGTACGTGCCTCCATACCCTTCCAGACACGTTTGCATCGGCTCATTGAAAGTCACCCAGTACTTCACCTTCCCCGCAAAAGCATCAAACAAAACCTTCGCGTAATCCGTATAATAGTCCACAATATGTGAATTGGTCCATCCTCCTATATTCTGCAGTTTTTGAGGCAAGTCCCAATGGTAAATGGTCACCATAGGAGTAATGTTGTACTTCAGGAGTTCATCAATAAGATTGCTGTAGTACTGCAGACCTAAAGTATTTATCTGGTTCGTGAGACCAGTGGGTAAGATTCTTGGCCATGATATGGAGAATCGGTATACATCCACACCGAGTTCGTGAACCATCTCAGCGTCTCTCTTGTATAGGTGGTAGGAGTCGGCTGCAACGTCGCCGTTCGATCCATCTTTGACAAATGTTTTATTGGTGTGCACGAGATGATCCCATATACTCTCAGATTTTCCTGTGAAGGACAAACAAAGTAAAGTAAGAACAGGGTATTTAAAGATTAGGTTTTTTTTACTAAATAAAAATGTATTAAATGTCGTACCATCTAGGTTCCATGCACCTTCAATCTGATACGCAGCCGTTGACACTCCAAATATGAAATTTTTGGGAAACGTGTAATTAGATTTCAATCCCCCGGAGAAATTGAGGATTTCAGCATTTCTGTGAACAAAATATTGAGTTGTATGAATTACTAAGCTACTACACAACTCCACGACAAAGTTCGAGAAAAAAACATGACATGTCACGGAAAATGATCATAGTCTTCGATATAGGAAACGGAACTGTATAAGAATTAATTCAAATTCATTATTAATTGATATATCATACAGTTATAATTGTATTATCAACATAGTGAACGGGACACGATTTGTATCTTATGCGCCATAATAAGAAGGCACTAATCGACTGATCGTATAAATATGTAATATGTACTGATGGTTTTAAAAATATTGTTATTAATAATGAAATAGTATTATAGATATTGTGACGGAAAAGTGGTTCAAACTCTTTGACATTATGACGTCAATGGATGGTTGTCAAACGTTGCCTAGAGATTGTAAGTTTCGTCGTGAATTGTCAACACGAGTTGGTGTAATCGGTAAGGCGTGTGGATTACACCACAGAGACCCCGAGTTCGAGTCCCGCCGTAAACATGAAGTTTTTTAGTTTATAGAAGTTTTGTCGAACTTTCTGGAATTATTTGTGTGAAAAAAATGAAAATTAAAGAGCGAGAAGGAGAATAAATAAAAATGAATAACGAAATTATTGGAAGGTTCTGGAGGCATGACGATCAAAAAGAATAACGAAATTGAATGTTCCAGAACCTGACCGGGGGTATATAAGCGGAACTGCGGCTCACCGCTGGCAGTTGAGTTCTAAGTCTAAAGCGATTCGGAAGAAAAGGAAGAAGTGAAAAAAGAAGAAAAGTGAGTGAAATAGTGAAGTGCAGTAGTGAAGTGCAGTCAGTTAAGTGAGTTAAGTCAGCGTGAACGGCAAAGTGGTGTCATTCGGCCGGACTCTGCTGGAGAGAAACGCCGATAACTTAACTCCGTGGACGCTGTAACTTAGGTGCAATAGAAAGTCTGAAAACCGGTATTAGTGTTTCATTTCATCCAATCCCGTAACCCAAGCCCGCATAGTCAGGAACGTGACGTCAGGCACGTAACATTTGGTGTCAGAAGTGGGATTGGAGAAAAATGCCGCTAGTGCCGCAGGACGTAAGAGGAGTGAGTACCCGTTCAATGTCAGAAGCGCAGCGTGTGAGGGAAGAGGGTGCTGCAGCTCAAACCAGTGATGCAGAAGCCAAGCCTGTGCAGGTGGATCTTCTGCTACAGCTGCAGCAAATGATGGCAGAGCAAGCGCGCCGCCAAGAAGAGCAAGCGCGCCGCCAAGAAGAGCAAGCGCGCCGCCAAGAAGAGCAAGCGCGCTGTCAGGCAGAACAGCTGCGGGAGCTGAAAGAAGAGCAAGCGCGCCGCCAAGAAGAGCAAGCGCGCCGCCAAGAAGAGCAAGCGCGCCGTCAAGAGGAGCAAGCACGCTGTCAGGCAGAACAGCTACGGGAACAAGCACACTGTCAGGCGGAGCAGCTACGGGAGCTGAAACAGATGCATAAGGATTTTACGAAGGGACTGCAAAAGGCTGTCGAACGGGTACAAGAAGTGGAGGAAGGGTTAGGCAAGTTGGAACATCGCGTCATGGCGATAGAGGAGAGACTGGAAGAAGAGATCTCCAAAATCAAGCAGGAAGTGACAAACCCAAGCCCTTTGAAGAGCCGAAGCCGTCTTGCAGCCGTTTTTGACGCCCCAAATGCGGCCTTAAGCGCAACGAAAGGGCTCAAGATTCCCCATTACGACGGAACAACATCCTGGACCGCGTTCAAGCTACAGTTTGAGACACTTATGGAGGCTTATGGTTGGACTCAGAAGGAAGCACAGTCAGCCCTCACCCTGGCCCTCCGTGATCAAGCTCTCTCAGTGCTGGAAGCTATCGGCGCAAGTGGGGATCTCAGCTTTAGTGCCCTCCTCGACGCACTTGAAGCACGTTTTGGAGACAGCCACCTCGAGCACGTGTACAGAGCGCAATTAAAAGAGCGTACTCAGCGTGCTAATGAGAGCCTACAGCAATGGTCCGTGGAAATCGAGAAACTTGTACGTCGAGCTTTCCGGTCGACTCCGTCAGTGATTGAAGGCACGCTTCTCCAAGCGTTCATTGACGGTATTCGGGACCCAGAAGTACGAGCTGCTGTTCATCTGGGCCATCACAAGAACATGAAAGAAGCTCTGGCCCATGCATTGGAAATGGAAGCCGTGCGTGGCAACTCCCGTACCTTACGTCTGCGGGAAATGACGACAACGGAGCAGGTACCTCCACGCCATCGGAACTTCATGTGCTATGGATGTGGAGAGCGTGGGCACATACGAAGCGACTGCCCGAAGAAGATGAACCGCCAGGACGCGGCGGTCTCAACTTCTGACCAGCAGGGAAACTTAAATCCAGCCAGGGCTGCGGGGTGGGCGCTGGCTGGTAGTGGAACAACCCCAACAATTTACATCAAGCAAACCAACGATGGAAATACTCTGGTGATAGACGGTCAAGTAAATGGAAAAAACAGTCAGCTAACATTAGATACTGGAGCTTCAAAGACGGTGATAAATGTTCGGCTGCTCGAGCAAAACATCAGGAAACACCTTAAACCAATTGTTGGCCTACAAATGAAATCAGCTACCGGCCAGTGCATACCGATAAGTGGAAAACTGCATGTAACAATCAAAATTGGGGAACGTGTTTATCGACATGAGGTTATTGTGGCCAGAATTCTGGATGACTGCATCCTGGGACTTGACTTCCTGCAAGGGCACCAGTGTAACATCGACTTAAAATCTGGAGTATTACTATGTGGAACTGAGGAAATTCCGATGAAGGGTGGAACCCTGGGAAAAGTTTGCTGTTTAAGAAGAACTGTTCTTGCACCAAAATCACAGACTCTCGTACCAATCGCATTACCTAGGAGGAAGGAAGGAAGTTTACCTCGAAGGTGCGCTGTGATTGATAAATCGGAACACGTAAGCTCATGGCTACCGGCAAGAACTGTCGTGGGGTCATCTGATGTCAACCGCATTCCGGTATTCAACTTCAGTGATTCAAAAATTACGATTGAAGAAGGAGAGCCTGTGGGCGTATTGGAAGAAGTGGCCTGGATAAGAAAATGCTCGGAGAATCTTGTGAAGAAGGACAGTACGGGAATTGACTTTGTAACGAAAATCTTAGACGAAAACAAAAGTCTAACAAAAGTGGAGACTATGAAAGCTAGAAATTTACTTCTTCGATTCTCTGATGTGTTTTCAAGAAGCGATGGTGATATTGGCCGAACTGGCTTGGTGAAGCATAAAATAAACACAGGTGATACAATGCCAATTCGTCAAAGGCCCAGACGCATACCGTTCGCTCGTGAGAAAGAGGTTGAAGAAATGATTGACGATATGAGAAAAAATGACGTAATAGAGCCCTCTTCTAGCCCTTGGTGTTCACCTGTCGTGCTTGTCAAGAAGAAAGATGGTTCAACGAGGTTTTGCGTAGACTATCGACGATTGAATGATGTAACCAAGAAGGATAGCTACCCGTTACCAAGAATCGATGACACACTTGACACACTGAGTGGCATGAAATGGTTTTCAACGCTCGATCTGAAAAGCGGCTATTGGCAGGTGGATTTGGATCCCAAGGACAAGGAAAAGACCGCATTCTCAACTGGGAAGGGACTCTGGCAATTTAAGGTGATGCCATTTGGATTATGCAATGCACCGGCAACCTTTGAGCGTTTGATGGAACAGGTGCTGGCGGGACTGCTGGGCGAAACCTGCCTAGTTTACCTCGATGACATCATCATTGTTGGACGGGATTTTGACGATCATCTAAGGAAATTGGAAAAGGTACTCGACAAGCTGCGTGGAGCAAATTTAAAGTTGAGTCCAAAGAAATGCTCTTTCTTCAAGCGCGAAGTGAATTATCTAGGACATGTTATTTCTGAGAGAGGAATTGAGACTGATCCAGCCAAGACTGTCGCTGTTAAGGAATGGCCAACACCTAAAGACAAAACGCAAGTTCGGGCATTTCTTGGATTGTGCTCGTATTATCGGCGGTTTGTGAAAGGATTCTCGGACATTGCCAAGCCTTTGCATCGATTGACAGAGGAGAAACGTGCCTTTATCTGGGACGAGGATTGTGAGCAAGCCTTTCGAGAACTAAAAGAAGGGCTTTGTAACACACCAATTCTCGGATACCCCAGCGCGAAAGGAATATTCGTAGTAGATACGGATGCCAGCAATATTGGAATAGGAGGTGTCCTTTCACAACGCGATGGTGAGCAGGAGAAGGTTATTGCTTACTTCAGCAAGTCACTATCCAAGCCGGAGAGGAATTATTGCGTGACCAGGAGGGAATTGCTGGCCGTAGTCAAAACTCTGCACCATTTCAAGAAGTATTTACTGGGACGGAAATTTTTGATCAGAACAGATCACGCTGCTTTGAAATGGCTGCTTCAGTTTAAGGATCCTGAAGGCCAAGTAGCCAGATGGTTGGAACAACTTCAGGAATTTGACTTTGAAATCGAACATCGCGGAGGAAGAATTCATGGCAACGCAGATGCATTATCGAGACGCCCATGCGTGGAAGATTGCAAGCATTGTGCCAAGAAGGAAACTGCTTTTCTTAAGGTGATAAGGACTAATACTGTTGACGAGGCATGGGGAGATGATGCGATGAAATTAGAACAGGAAAGAGATGCAGATATTAAACCAATACTGGAGTGGCTACGAAGTGGTAACAAGCCAAGTTGGAGTGACGTCGCCCAATATAGCGCGGTAACGAAAGGTTTATGGGCACAGTGGAAAAGCCTTACGCTGCATAATGGACTTCTGTGCAGGAAATGGGAATCAACAAACGGCAAGGACGAGCATTTGCAATTGGTGGTGCCTCGTTCAAAAATAAGGGATGTATTAAAAGCGTTCCATGATGGATCTTCTGGAGGACATTTGGGAATTAGGAGGACTTTGGTGAAGATCAAGGAGAGGTTTTATTGGCTGCATTGCAAATATGACGTCGAAGATTGGTGCCGGAAATGCACTAGTTGTGCAGCTGTCAAGGGTCCACAAACAAGAAGCAGA